TTCGTCAGACGCAGCAGCATGTCCCCTCTCTCTCTCTCTCTCTCTTTTTCTCTCTCTCTCGCTCGCTCTCTCCCCCATCCCTGATTAGATACACTGATTCTTCATTCAATGGACGTCATTTAGAACAGACTCTGCCTTGAGTTGCTTCCTCGCTTCACGCTCGATTTCCAGCCATTCTTCCCTTATTAAGTATTCGTGTAATATTAATAGTCATGAATATCTGCTATTAGGAGTCTCAAGGAAGGCAGCAGAGCTCTGTTATTAGGAGCTCAAGTGGAGCAGCAGCTAAGTCAAAGAAGGAGAAAAGAGAGAGAGAGAGAGGGAGGAAGGAAAAAAAGGATTAAGAAACAAACACACACAAAAAACTTTGAATTCTAATATCACGACAGGATAGAGATCGCCTGTTCAACATCAAATGAAGGGCATCAGGAATTTGTTCAAGTTCTGATGGATTATAGTAGAGCTTCCTCGATGCATGAGAAGCCTTGGCGTTGTGGTCTTGTAGTCATAGTGTAGAGCTGGGCTTCTACCACTTCTCTTTTTTGTGTGTGTGTGTGTGCGAGTGTGTGTGTGGGTGCACATTGGGGCACTTTTCTCTGATTTTTCTACCCTGACTTGGTATCCCAGACTCTTCGCAGATGTTAGTACACAGTTTTTCAGCTATGGTGAGTTGCTTCAGCATTATATCTTAGGGGGTTTTGTTTTGTTTTTTGCCTTATTGTTGTTTGTCGATGATGATGTTGCCACTTTGGATTTTACACCTTTGGATTTCCTACGAGGACATTTCTGCTCCCCCCCTCCGAGTCAATCTTTTAGCTTTTTTTCCCTGACTGCCTCAAGTGAACTACAAAAGGCTTATTTATACCATATCCGCCTTTATTTCTTCACTTTCCCACTTGTAATTGGGCTATATTCAGTATTTCTTCTTTTCTCCTTTTTCGAGATAATAACCTCATGTGCTATACAATCTATATCATGTAATGATAGCTCTCTTATCTCTCCTCCCCTCTTTGGGGGCTATTAATTTATCCTAGACATACCTATGGGCTTTTATTTACTAACCCTCCTCCCCAGTTCCAATTATAAACGGACAAAATAATGCGCATTCATTTTATTTTTGTTTATATTTATCCAGCTGTGTGTCTTAAGATGTCCTGCCTTTTCATTATTTATGCAGTATTTTATCTCCTTCGATTTGCTTTCCACCTCAATTAAATATTTTTCATTTAATTTGTATCCTGTAGCATAAATCTCTAGAAAGCAGCGCATATCTATTGAATGGGGGTGAAAAGGCATATTGTAATATCGTGTTTAAACATTTGTGAAACTTGTAATTTAAATGATTGCTTTATTTCAAGCATTTTAGACACACTTCTATGTTTAATTGTAATAAAATGGCAGTGCTCTTTGATTTTCTGTGTTTTTCTTAGATACATTAAAGATAATCTAAACAATAATATTGTTTTAGTTCTGTTTAAAGCCAGCAAAATACATTTTGGTAGTGGTGAGGTTGATTTTTTTTTAAAGAACAATGCCCATTTTAAAAAAAATCTTTTAAAAATGTTTCATGTTCCAATGTAAGAATACGAATTCTGGGCATAGCTATTGTAAATACCTACTGCATTTCCACTGGGATGGGTTGCTTTCTTAAAGATTTCTTTCTAGTTTTGTTGCCACAATGTAAAGAGAAAAGTCACAGACAGGAAAATCTCCAGGTCTGCTTTTCTCCGCTGGGCAGCAAATGAATTGCAAATCTTGCCTGATCGTTGGATGGGTGAAATTTACAAGCCAATTTTACTGTAAACAGTTTGATTTTATCTTTTCTTTTCTTCTCTTCTCTCATTCCCCCTCAGGATCGTCACGATGGCACCAGCAATGGGACAGCCCGGTTACCCCAGTTGGGGTCTGTAGGTCAATCTCCCTACACCAGCGCCCCTCCACTCTCCCACACCCCCAACGCTGACTTTCAGCCCCCATATTTCCCTCCTCCTTATCAGCCCATTTACCCCCAGTCTCAAGATCCTTATTCCCACGTTAATGACCCATATAGCCTGAATCCCCTCCATGCCCAGCCTCAACCCCAGCATCCAGGATGGCCAGGACAGAGACAAAGCCAGGAAGCCGGGCTCTTACACACACACCGGGGGTTACCCCACCAGCTATCCGGCCTGGACCCTCGTAGGGATTACCGGCGGCATGAGGATCTACTGCATGGACCCCATGGGCTCAGCTCAGGACTAGGAGACATTCCTATCCATTCGATACCTCATGCTATAGAAGATGTACCGGTAAGGAGGATGCATACGGTCTATGTTATTCACCCACAAATACAATTGCAGGACAGAGTGTGTGCCTTTTCTCAGCAGAATTTATAGTTGCCTACCCAAGGCAGTGTGTAAAGAGTGGAAAGGCTTTTGTCACACGGAAAGAATTCAACCTAAACAACAGCAAAACCAAAAATGCCAAGGCCTCCACCTAGAACAATAGGTTCCTGCAGCTATACCCACACCTCCTCTGCCTTAACAGTGTCCACTAAAATATAAATAAATCAAATTACTGTCATCATTAACAATATCTTTCATTTTCAAAGACAATAAGCTGTTACCATAGGAAGAATATTTAATCCCACCATTGGGCCTTGCATTTGGGATTGCTCGGTGCCTTGGGGAAAAAACATTAGCCTGAAATGCAAGAGCTCATTAAATGCCCTCCCAGCCAAAGATTAAAAAAAAAAAAAAAAGTGGAAGAAAGTGGCCTAAGAAGAAAAATCAGTTCTTAGTGATTACGGAATTGGCATATGGTACAATGACGTCTAAAGTTGTAAGAGGATACATCCAGATTCTCTACTCTAAAGGAATTATGTGACAAATCAGAGAGGAGGTATATTAAAATGCTGCCTTATTCTTTTAGCTGGAGTGCTAAGGGATGACCTCATAAATCATTAGCAATAGGTTATCAAATTCTATCCAGACCTCCTACACCCTCTATTAAATTAAATGCTTATAGACTATTGGATAATACATTATTTTTGGTCTAATTCTGTTATCAATAAATACAGTTTAAAATGATTTCTAATTAAGCATGACATTAGCACATTGGCTATTTCCAGTGCAAGATGGCTATTGTTCATTTGGAAGTACTCTAGTGCAATGTGATTTAAAGAATTTGTTTGTGATCAAAGTTCATATTTCTGGTTTTCTCCCTGAAAAAAAAAGACAGAACTTGCCAATAAATTTATTAAAGTTCATGGAGCTCGCGCTAAGAGGCTAAAGCCGCTTCAGTTGTAGGGGAAGGAGGAGGGGAATTGTGGTATCTGGATGTGATTTTTGCTAAAATGCCATCCCAAATTACAGGATCAAATATTACAACAATATATCCGCTGACAGTTTAATGAGTACAGTTTCATGTTGCAAGGATAATGTTCAGATGGACTTACCTATTTTTTGGTCATTTTGAAACCTTTTGTAAATTATACCTGGGGAAATAGTGAATTTATTACAGCTCTCTTCTGGCTAAATTAACCACAGAAAATTGCTGCTTATGTTTAGCAGTTTTGCAATAAACGCATATATTTCCCAAAGTGGAGGATTTAGTAAGCAATTTGGATCCGTTGAAAACAGATCAATTCTTTTAACTTGAAATAAAACGTCATGAAGGCAATATTTAGAAGAAACTAATTTGTTGACTGCCGGGTCATAGTTACTGTAGAAGCATGACCTAAAATATTTCTCTGAATCCTCCGTTCCTGCAATTGTACTTTGTTAAAGTGGACAGTCTTGGAGACCCCTTTTTACAGATATTTTAAGTGCATATCTTTTTATTAATCTTTCAAGCACCTATGAATTCTTATCACTGCTATATTTCGTGAAAGCCAAATGCCATCTGGTGTAAAATCTTAAACTAGTCCAGTCATTTTCCCCCCTGTAAAACTGAAACAGCAGGATGCATGAACAAATAAAACAAAATAAAATAAATAAGAGAATGTATCTTCTGAGAGTATTATTCAGTTAGGTAAAACCAAAACTGAATAAATTGTAAAGGAATTTGGGTCAAGAAAAAGGTCATTCTGAATTTTCCCGTTGCTGCAACAGTTAACCTTTAATAAAAATCACTGCTAAATATTTAAGAAAATCCAGTAGATGGTGCAAATTATTTAATCATAAATATCTCTGTGGGATTTTAAATTTAATAGTCCTCGCTGTATGGAATATGTGTAGAAATAACACAAATAAAAGTATTATGCCACACTACATTTACTTTATGGGTTTAGGGTGCATGCATAAAGGGATCATATTTCCCCATATAGTTAAAACACAAGAACTGCAGCAGTAGTCATTTCTGAACATTTCTCAATTTAATTATACTTAAATCCAGAAGCACTTTAGGCAAGTTACAAATGAGAGCATTGAGTATAATAAAACCTGTAATAAAGCAACTTAGTACCATCCACCCGGAATCATTGAGATCAGGCACAATTAACAGGAGCATAAATCCAAGACAGAATGGAAAATGTTAGAATCAGTATTATTGTTGGACAAAGACTAGAGAAGGAAGTAATAGTTTTTTAAATGGTAATGCCTGTGTTTTGTAACGATTGCGAAATCTTCTATCTCAGCAACACTGGTGTTAATTTGTAAACACAGCCAGACATTATATTGCCTGTCAGTTTTTGAATTAGAAAACATGATTTCATTTTACTTTCTAATCACGTTTTGACTCCGGCACATAAAATCCATCTGTAAAAGAAACAACAAAACCTGCTAGTGGACAATAGTAAAGCAATCGGCTCTTTATTCTGTTTTCATAGCACTTTTCTGATCTTCGTTTCAAGCAATGATCCCCCCTCCCCCGCCCGCCTGTTTTCCACAGTGAAAGTGTGCAAATGCTTTGCCTCTTTCTCGCACCCCCTCCCTTAAAATATTTCCAAATGATTTCCAGTGCCGCCCCCCCCAGGGTATTTCTCCCGCTAGCTTCCATTGTGTTTTCCTCTGCCCTCGCTGCAGTAGGCACAGGAGCAAGACTTCGCGTACTTGATTGTTGTTATAATAGGGATTTTTTAAAAAGAGTTGAGGTACAAAACTAAACGGTGACTTGGATTGCAGGGTCACCATTGCACTTTGTGGCAACTCCCGGTGTTTTTATTTCGAAGGAGAGAAAAGAGGGGGAGAAATCAAAGCTTTCTTTAGTTTAGAAATGCCAAAATCCCAATAAACGGAGATCAGATGTTCACATATAAATTGTAGGGAAGAGAAAAAAATAATTGATAACACACATACAACCTTCCTGACATTCGTTTCCCTTTGTTATGATTATAATTTACATCCCTGTGTATTTCTTTTGTTGCAGCATGTAGAAGACCCGGGTATTAACATCCCAGATCAAACTGTAATTAAGAAAGGTAAGCCACTTCCTTTAGCATTCCAAGCATGTCCTCACAAGCTGGGTACTACTGAAGGGAGAACTTGCTAAGCTCCCCCCACCCCTTTTTTTCTCTCTCTCTCTCTTACAAATATAATTTACTAAAGGGTTGTGAATGGAAAATAAAATAGATCATCAGTGTTGAAAGCAGCCTTCATTTAGTAGTAGCGTTTGCAGTTTTCAAGAAAATGTTGCAATATTATCTCAGATCCAGTGTTTTAGTTCATTATAATGCATTTCACTTTTGTAATTAGACCAATTAATCCAACTGAGTGGCATTATTTATCAATGCTGAGAATTTGGGGGTTCTGAAATGGTAAGAAATGTTTTCCATATTTTTTTTTAAATGAGGATGAGTAAAAATGGTAGATGGCTTTGTAGAAAAGATGTTAGGTTCTTTAATCTGATCACTTGAAGGTTGTTTACACGTGGGTCTTTAGGAGTGGTTGTGAAAATGGTTCCTAATTGTGTAAAAGCTATTTCGTGCTTTCATTAAAATCTGGTTTCCTATCTTCCTTCAAATGACCCTAAGGATTATGAAAATATTGTTCAAGGTAGTTTTTGGTTCTTGATGAAAAGGTGGAAAGTCATTGGTTTGCATTTGGATTCTGTTTACTGAGCTGTTGTTAGAGTAAAACTTACTGGGTTGAATGCTTAGGTATTATTCGCTCTGAGCAATAGCATGCTTGTGTTTTGTTGGCAAGGTAATAATATTTGGGTATTCTATGCACCACCAGAGGATGATACTATATAAAGCGGTTCTCCTTTCTTATTCTAATCAGTATACAGTAAGCTAGTTTAAAGTTTCATTTTTCTGTCTGTGAAGCCTTTGTCATGTCAAATTAGATGTGCAAAGGATAAATCTTAAGAGATGCTCTTTCCAAGTCGACATGATAATTGGCTCTTTTATTAGTAATCTCAAGAGTTCGTTTAACTCCTATTGTCTCTATTAGCCTCCCCAGAGCTATTAATGTCACAAGTGATCTATCCAAAACCTAGAGCCCCCCCATAGGTTTGGACTATCCCCACTAAAGTAAAGATGTAGGGGGGAAAGCAGCACACATGACAAAAGAAAAAGAGAGTAAACATTTAGAATGTACCCGTGTGGAACTTGAATGCAACCTAAATTCCATGCAAAATAATCTGGACATGTTTCAGTTGTGCTTAGTAATGCTGGCTAATGCAAGGGCTCAGTACGCTTTTTGGTGGCCCTGAATTTATTCCAACAATGGCCTGAACCTGGCTGCGTGGGGATGGGGAATATGGGATGATTTTTATTTTCGGTAGATATGTAGTTAAACACCCAAGGTTTCTGGGCAGATGTATTCATTCACATGGAAAGGTGCTGTAATTTGCTCTTCAGTGTTTCTTTTACTGGTGAACACTGCACAGGCGCATCAAAATATATTATTTTTTTGTGTTACAAATTGAAAACAGGGTAGCACAAGTTAAGGCAGACGTTCTCACTCTCTTTTGCAGTTATGAGTACCGAAATACATATATCAGCCTAGCATTTTGTACTATATTCATAGGCAGCTGGCTGCTTTTTGAAACCTCCTGTGAATTGCCCTCTCCCCAGTTTTAAAATATTCCCCTTTATGTGACACCACTTTTACAGGAGCCTTCCTATTAAAAACAGATACTTGCTTGTGTGGCTGGCTCATACCAACTTGCTTCTAAGGCCTAGCTTATTTCAGGAAAAAGCGAATGTGCACCTTGATTATTAGACTGGCTCTAGATTGTATAAATGGTATTTTTAATGAAGGGGGGGGGGGACGGGACGTGGGCTTCCAGATACCAAACATACAATTGACTAGTCCTAAAATCTTTGTGCGAGTCCATTTATTCATTATTATCTGCATTTAAGGGCAAACGGAGGCCTTGGGAATTGGGTTTGGCGAAAGCATCTCCCCCCGCCCCCGGTACTGTGCACTGATCAGTGGGTCGCCGCGCAGCCCACCGAGGGGGAGAGGCAGCTTCACAGCTGCTTTAGTAACCTGGACTCTTCTCCATAAGAGAAGGGAGCCCCAGCAGCAGCGCTCACTCTTCCCGCTGAGCCTGCGCTGACAGCAGCTACTCGCTGGCTCGCTTGAGTCCGAAACAGCGCCACCCTCCCCCCCGCTTACCCCGCCGCCCCCTCCCCACTCTCCATCCCGGCGCTGCCTCATCCCTGGTCCCCGCTCCCACAGGACCTAGCGCGGCCCCCCGCTCCCCTTCCCCGGGCTCACACCCTGCGCTCCTCTGCCCGCTGCGCCCCGGTCCCCGCTCGCACGTGGCGCAGAGGCCGGCTGGGGGCTGCCGCTGCGCTGCGGGGCCCTAACGCCGCTCTTCCGCCCCCCTCCCCCCTTGTCCGCTGCAGGCCCCGTGTCCCTCTCCAAGTCTAACAGCAACGCCGTCTCCGCCATCCCCATCAACAAGGACGCGCTCTTCGGCGGGGTGGTGAACCCCAACGAGGTCTTCTGCTCCGTGCCGGGCCGCCTCTCCCTGCTCAGCTCCACCTCCAAGTACAAGGTCACGGTGGCGGAAGTGCAGAGACGCCTCTCCCCGCCCGAGTGCCTCAACGCGTCCCTGCTGGGCGGGGTGCTCCGGAGGTGAGGGGAGGAGGGAGCCAAAGGGGCGGGGCCAGGAGGGGAGGGGAGAGGAGAGGAGCCCCCCCCCGCATGGCCTGGCAGGCCGGTGCTCGCTGTAACGCGCGCTCTCCGCAGCCAGCCCCCGGAGCTAGGCTGCTCCGAACCCATGACCCAGCAAGAGCCATCGCAGCGCGCGTGCAACAGCGCCAGGGCCCTTGCAACATCCTAGCATGGCTGCAGCCGAGGTCCCCGCCCCCCCCAGCACTTGCCGGCAGTCCCATACAGCATGCCACAACACGCCACTGCAATTAGTGCAACGCCACCAGCCACTCTGCATCCAAATCAGCATCCCATCGCACACCAGGCCACTGGCAACAACTGCAACACCACAAGGAGAGGCCACCTCTCATCAGCATCATCACATGAGGTCACTGCAACCATAGCAACACAGTCCAATCTACAACTGCACTAATGAAACACAAGGCCTCTTGCAAAGAAATGCAACACCACATAATGATGTCACCACAACCAAACCATTTCTACATAAGACTGCTACTTGCTATGGTAGGATACTGCAAAGGGAAATATTTTGTTTTAAAGTGATGCTTGGATCCTGAGCGGTAATCGTTTTTGTGTGTGTTGTAAAACACAAAGGATGCAGGAGATACCCTCCTCTCCCCCAGTCTTCCCCCCCATGAGAAATTTGTTATAGTAATTTTTTAAAAAGTTTGGGTTCTATAGTCAAACGATACAACCATTCATTGGTGATTTCTTTCTTAGTTACCTAGGGGTTATAATCGAATCCATACAATTAAAGATCACTTGGGTAGGGAATAAAATCCAGAATTAATTAATAGGAAGCTTCATTTAAACAATTTATCTTAACCTGTCTCTGTTGAAAATAGTAGATAGGTATTTAGAACTTAATCTATTTGCTGAATACAGTGAAGTTCTCTAATGGTAACATAAGTTTTTGACCTTTTAGATTAGTCTGCTAAATAATGCATTAGATATTGCAAATAAATCTACTTTAGCAAAGTTCCCATTAGGGGTAGTAATGTGTCAAGAGCTCTAAAATGATTATGGCTTTGGCCAAACAGATCTTGTAGTACCCCTGTGCTAGTATATGGTTTGATTTGGTAGGTTAGAAAACATTTTAAAACCACTCAAATTTCAAAAATAACCACAAACAAAATATATCCTTTTCAGTTAATTTTGTATTCAGCTTTGCTTTAATTGCCTGTTTTTCATTCTTAGCTTTTCCCGGCATAAAACTTTCCTAAATGTCCCTTCATCATCAACATTATTTTCTAATACATTTTGGGAGGTTTTTAAAGGAACTGAAATATGACCTGGTGCAGATTAGTCATGTTCTAAGTGGTTTTTATGTGTGAAACAGGGCGAAGTCTAAAAATGGAGGGAGATCTTTGAGAGAAAAACTGGACAAAATAGGATTAAACCTGCCAGCCGGGAGACGTAAAGCTGCTAATGTCACCCTGCTCACATCACTAGTGGAGGGTAAGTGACTCAAAGATTGGAAAGGGTTCATTTTGCCTAATAGGATAAATCCCCAATTTTTTTCAGGCCTGTGTTCCTTGTTTGAAGGAGGTTATTTTGTCTAGTCTTCATGCTTGAGGAAAATGTTAATTCTGTAACTGTGTCTTTTATGTTAACCTGAAATGTTCTGAAATATCTCTTGCATACTTAGCATTGGGCCTACAGGAATTTCCTCTCTGAATAAGGTCTGCAGGATCAGGCCCATAAGTATTACTTATGTGAGTGAAAGATACAAGATTCAGCTAAGGGGTTCAGTCCCCTCATTCCATCCTCTGTCTACCACTGAGGACTAAGCAATTTTAAATTTCAAGAACTGCAGCTACTCAAAGTTAAGTCTTCTCCCCCCATAAACAACATAACAGTAAATCATTTAAGTTATTCTGACATCTGCATTTGAGAAATGCGAGACCATTGCTTCCTGAATTAATTTGGGAATCCTTGACCTTTGTCATGATTTAACAGTGTCCTGAAAGCCTCAAAGTTGTACTCTTCCCCTACCCACATTTCTTTTTTCTTTTGGTTCTCATTTTCAGAACATATGCTTGTTTTATTATACTATGCTTCACTGTTTTACTCTAGATGAAAAGGTGCAACTTCTTTAAGCCTTCAGACGTCATGTGCTTTTAATATTTCTGATGTAGAAAGCTGAAAGAGGTGCAATCATTTGGTTTAAAATGGTTACTTTGTCAAAGCTGCTTACAAAAAATAAATCTGGGTCAGTCTAAAATATCTTTCCTCCTCTCCAGTTTTGTTTTTGACATCCCTTTACACTGATTTTGATTGTCTGTAAAGTGCTTTTAAGGATGCTTAAGTTAGCTTAAGTTTGGTTGTGTAGGAGGGATTTTATAGCTTTATTCTTTTTTGCTTTGTATCATAAGAGATGAAGTAAAAACATATAAAATTGCCAGACTTGATTTTTAATACAATATTATCACTTTGGTTATTAAGTCCATTATATTTTTACTGCTGTGTAAGTCTTTCTGATCTAAAATGGCTTTACAATTGCATCAGCACTCTAGTGTAAGAAAAATAAACAATGGGAGAACTTGCAAAAAGTCTAGGTTTGGTGGATGCTAATATTATTTGTGATGTTAATGAAGATGGAGAGTATTTTACAGTCATCTATTGTTCTATGTGGTCTCCACATACGAGGGCTTTAAGGAATTATTTTAAAAAATAAGAACTATGGATTGATTTTTCAGATAAACCGGTAATGGTGGCTAATTTTTTTGGATGATAATATAAAAATTGTTTGGGCTTTGAGTCCCGTGGCGATGAGGCAGTTTCTAGAGTACTGTTATTGTTTATGATCCGCTCCATTTTATGGAAACAAGCTCACTGGACTGAGGCTTTGAAGCTCTAATTGGCGCATGCGTTCTTCCGGAGCTGGAGCTAATGGCAGGAAGCCCTGCAGTAAAAAACAACTGGTTCAGGAAATTAAAACCAAAGATTTGAAAATCAACAAAACAGACAGACTCAGTGGAATGACCCTAAAATTCTCATGGTTAATCGTTTGGGGGGAACAGATAATTATATGCGATCAAGTTAAATTTTAAACACTTAGCTGTTTAATGCATTCTATTTAGAAGAGCTCTAGGAGTAATTATGATCAATACTAATAATTCATATATTGTAAAAGAACATATATATTTGCCTTGACAGTATATATATATATATATATTTCCAAAGAAAATAGTTAAAAATGAAATACATACTCTGTGTATCTATATCTACTTAGCAAGAGATTTAAACTTACAAATACATGCACACAATTTCATTTCTAACTCTTTTCTTGGACATATATATTTGTTTTGACCTAGAAAAGAAAATTCATAAAATGAGGATATCTGTAATTTGCACACTAGGCAGTACATTTTAAGAGAAAGTCTAAGTGAAATACTGTGTAGCTTTTGCTAATCTACTTTGCCCTATGTGCTGTGTATATTGATTCGATGTGCGTTTCTCCTCACCCCCCTTTCAGGAGAAGCAGTGCATCTAGCTAGAGATTTTGGGTACGTCTGTGAGACAGAATTTCCTGCCAAAGCAGTTGCTGAATTTCTCAACCGACAACATTCCGATCCAAACGAGCAAGTCACAAGAAAAAACATGCTTCTAGCTACAAAGTAAGACATTTACCTTTCTGTTGTGTTACTGAGTTGTAAAGAAAAGAACAGGTTTGGGGGCTTTTATTTTTGTTTGTTTGTTTTTTTGCCATGCAGTAATTGGCTAATGATTTTGCAAATTGTAAGACTGTGAATATGCATTCACAGTATATATTATAGCAAAAAGTATATAACCAGCTTTATTTTCTAAAGTGAGTTTATGCAGATTTTCTTGAAAGCAGGTTCTGAAATCTTGGATGGATGTTTATTTAAAGAAAAAACAATAATTCCTTAAAGGAAAACATTTGCTGGGTCTTTATCAATTTAGGCACTAGGGGAAGGTTTCCTATTGACAGTAAAATAAAACTGGCACATTAAACTGATTTCAATTCATTAAAATCTGCAATGGTTCTTTTTTTTTCTAAGCAGATCTGTTACTTAGTGAATATAGGGATATTACAAATATATTTTAAATGACAATCTGTATGCAGTTAAAATGCAAGTGGAGTTTATCATTGGTGGGGCTGACTAGGCTTCCAGGTGGTGTGTGAAAAGAAAATGATTGTTTTGATATGTTTGCTGGAAATTAAAAGGCTTGTTTAGTAGCCCTTAATTACCAATGGAGATGTCACTAAAGGGCACAGTGCCAGAGGGCACAGTCAGAGGATGGGAGCCAGTTTATGGCTGGAAGACATTAACAGAGGTTTTAGAATACAAACTGTTTCAAAACACCTCTAATCTCTGCTATAAGGTATTATTTTCTCAACAATTTGTGCAGTGACTGAAATATAAAATATAACTTCTGCACAAGGTCCATATAGCTCTGTATCCTTCCTTTCCACCTCCATGAAAGGAAGTTTCTGGATCCCAGCCAGTGTCACCTGGGCCTTTGTGGAGAAAGTCTCATTTAAACGATATATATATATATATATATATAAATAATAATTTTAAGAGCGTAATTTAAATCCTTAACTTCACCTCTCTGGCCTCTACCCAGTAAACCTTGGCTTTCCTCCTGCCACAGCCCTTGTCTAGCTTTGTGGATAAGAGAATAAATCTCTCCTATTCCAAAAACAGGATCATCCACAAGGCAAATAAATACCTGAGCCTCCCTCTCAATATTACACACCATATATCCTGTTCCGTATTGCAGAGATAGTCTAAGCTGCTTATTGACAATGTGCCAAAATACAACATCGGAGGAGGGAGGTAGAAATATTGTGATGACCTGTGTAGGATTGAAATGTCTGTGGTGTTAGTGTATGTGTGTGCGGGAGAGTGATTTGTGATGTGTGTATTTGAAATGTTTGGTGCCTTTTGGGTGTGTTTGTGAGAGAGTTTTTATATGAGAGGGTAAGGATACATGAGAGAGTGTGAGTGAGTGAGAGAAATGTGCATGTTTGTGTGTGTCAGCGAAATGTGTGCATGAGTGGGAAAGAGAGAAATTTCTCCGTGTGTGTGGGGAGAGAAACAGTGTGTGAAAAAAGAAGTATGTGTGTGTTGTGAAAGAGAGAAGCGTGTGTATATGTGTGTGAAAGAGAGAAATGTTTGTGTGCATCTGTGAGTGGGAGAGGTGGCAGAGGGGATGAAAGAGAGACCTGCTTGTCTGTGTGCCAGCGTGAGTGAGAGATGTGTGTATATGTATGTGTGTGTGAGAGAGACAGAGTTTGTGTGTGTGACTCAGAGAGAGGCTATGTGTGTACAGGGGGAGCAGTCCCCTTGATCTGAAGGCTTGTGTAATCTAGCAGGAAGACTGCACTGGCTTCGCTGCTGACAACAATGGTTCATCTCTCTCTCTCTCTCTCTCTCACTGCTCCATTTGTGCTGCAGACAGATCTGTAAAGAGTTCACCGACCTGCTGGCTCAGGACCGATCTCCCCTGGGGAACTCTCGGCCCAACCCTATCCTTGAGCCGGGCATCCAGAGCTGCCTGACCCACTTCAACCTCATCTCTCATGGATTCGGCAGCCCTGCGGTGTGCGCCGCCGTTACCGCCCTGCAGAACTATCTCACCGAGGCGCTCAAGGCCATGGACAAAATGTACCTCAGCAACAATCCCAACAACCACACAGATAACAGCACCAAAAGCGGCGACAAAGAGGAGAAGCACCGAAAGTGAGGATTTCCCCCCCTTCCTGCATCCATCCATCCATCCATCCATCCATCCATTCATCCCCCTCCTAGCTCCCTCCCTCCCTCTCCAATCACCCCAGGCTACAGCAACAAAATCAATGCCCTTCTGCCCATCCTGTTCTCTATCTCTGCAGGACTACGCTGTCCTTCCTCCCTTCCAGCCTTCAGCACTTCATTTGCTCCTAGTTACTTCCCCACACTTCCTTACCCTGGTTTGGAGCCTGAGAGAACAGAAATGGGTGATGGAGCCAGCAAAGAAAAAAGTTCTGTCTGAGTTTGTGAACTTTTTTTAAAAAAACAAAACAAAAACAAAAAGAGGAAAAAATAAAAAAACAAAACAAACAAAAAGAAAAGGAACTTTTTTTTCTAAAAATATATAAAAAGAAATAAAAACAAATTAATAAATAATACTAAAATATAAATCTATGAGCTTCATCGGACTGAATCACCAACTCCCCTTGCATAAACTTCAGTTAAGATTGTAGCCATATTAAAAAAACAAAACAAAAAACAAAAACAAACCTAAAGAAAAGCAAAAGGCAAAAAGGATTGATGACATTTTATCAGTATTGTGAATAAACTTGAACACAAAACACACGCAATTCCATGTCATGTCTTCAGTTGTAGAACTTTTTCCTGTCCAAGGTAAAGCGACCAACTTGAACTTTCTATTGCGACACGATTCACAGTTATTATATAAGGGAATCAGTGTTTATGTATGTATATATTTATTTATGTGTAATTTAATGGGAACTGTAAATATGGTGAGTCTGTTTTAAGCCTTTTTTTATTTATCTGGTGATCTTGTTTACCTCTTGTTTAGTGGGTTTTAAATCTTCCCTTCTTAGTTCATCATGTGGTTCATGGTACTTATTTAGAAATCAGAGTTTTTTTGTTTTGTTTTGTTTTTCTCTGGGATTCATCATTTTTTAACCCTGTTGTAGCATGTTAAAGGCGACAATGAAGCAACTGAACAAACAAAAGAAAATTGAATTTTTATATATAATTAGTATTACATTTAGTTTCTCATTGAAAAAGAAAAAAAATAAAGTGATGTTGGATCCAGGCAAGATTTTTAAACGTTAGTGGTTTTACAACTATTACGTGTTGTGGAAAAAAAAAGTTCATTTTCACCCACTGTCCTCCTGAAAGTATCATCAGAGCAATAAATTAATATTGTCTTTTAGATCAAGGTTTAGTTTTTCTTTTCTTTGCCCTTTTTTTTTTCCCCCAAAGAACTTCAAATATTTGGGACCACCTGGTATCCTGTATTTCCACTGGCCATATTGGAAGCAGTTATAGTTGTATTGTATTGAGTTGTGCTGGCAGTAGTTTCCATGCCTGTCAATGTATCATAGTCCTTTGTTGCCCAGATAAATAAATATTTGATACGCTTTATGTCGATTTTTTTATTCAGTGGCTGTCTTTACCCAGGCGTATTTTTGTTCTTGGCAGTATTTTTTATTCAGTATGGTTACAGTAATTGAGTTTAACTCTCCCTTGACAATTGCTCTTTGCAATAAGCAGCTGAACCCATTGTTTCCCTCAAGTATAATAAAAACTTACTTTCAACTTGGAGTTCAGAGCAGGGTATCATTTAGATATTCCACTGAGTCTGTATTCAGACAAATGACACAATAAAACACAATGTATTCTTTTGGATAAAAAATTGTCTGTACTAGTAAAGAAATGACACGCTATCTTTTCTTTAACCAAAACATAATTTTATTAAAAAAAATAAAGTTTTATTTTATTTATGTTGACCCTCTAGGTTTTTATTTGTGTTTAATGATATATATACACTGCACAATATATATAGAACTAAAATGTTAGCCCATCAGTACCAAGTAAATACTGAAAATTAATTGCTGTGAAATGTGGTTCTATTAACACATAGATTTGAATAATAATAATAAAATTGCTCCATAGTCTTTGGCAAGTAAACTCATCTAAAGATTTCTGGACTGTAGTTAAGTCTTGAGGAAGACAAATTATTTCATATTCATCACACTGTTTTATGTTTTAGTGGAACACAGTGGTTGACCTCTGCTGAGATGGTCAATGTAGGTTTACAGGGAGCTGAAATCCTAACCTTAAAATTCAACCTTCTTCTCTCCTCCCTCTCCCCACCCCTCCCCGAGCTCTTTTTAAAAAGAGAAATTTGCTAAAAACTTTTTTTTTAAAATGTTAAAGCGTGTACAAATTGTAGGTCTGTTTTAATAAATCAGTGAGATAATTTTTGCTTTCAACTTGTTTTGTCTAGCCCAAACAGAGAAGTCAGAATCTCTTGCATTATATTATGTGACAAGAAGGATTGTTAATATAGTTAATAATGTGAAGGTGCCTTTAAAGAGATTTTTACATTCTAAGTGATGTTGATGTTTTGGTGTGTTTTTTTTCCCTCAGACAGAATAGGAGGAGGTTAACTGTGAGGTGTTTACAATGAATCTGCAACAAGAATTAACATTTGCTCACATAGTTTGACGTTTGGTAGGGCTGGTGAAGCAAAGCATTAGATAAAGCTCAAGATGTTTCATTTTGCTTTGGTAATCTACTTCTGGAAGGCAGTGTAAAATCAATTTTGCCAAGCAGAAGAGAGTTGGTGGAATCTAAATTCTATTTTCGAAAGCCAGCCAGTTTATAAAAATGGTGGATATTTTTTAATACAAAATGAAAGTAGATCATCTGAATGCAAAGCTGCAATTGTTTTTAAAACAGTTATTTATTATTTCCAAGAGAGACTGGTTAACTGGAAAGTAGATGTAACAAAATAATGAGGTGAATGAACCCTAACTGTACATATTCTTGACATAAATGAAATGCACAGTATTGTAGCAGGTGAAGTGAAGCATTGTCTATCAGGGCTGTTTTTCTTGGCTGCATCTCAGATTGTGTGTGGGATCCTAACCTCAGGCACAATAGCATCCATAAACAGCAATACATTGCTGCTCTTTCTACAGCAACACATAAATACTCATTTTAAAACGAAAACAATCTTATTAAATACCATTCATTCATATCTGGATTTACAGATGCTTGTTACTTTTTGAAACCTGTACCCAATATAATCATTTTATACTGGCCAATGTATAAAGCCCTCTTGTGCTAGAACATTATAATGTCATAATAAATAATGTTTTAAAAATATAATTAGTTATTTTAGTCTACAGTGGAATATTTTCAGTATCCTCATGCTTCACTATCCCCCGCTCCCATCAGAAATCAGAAATTAAGTGAACTTGCTTAAATCTCTTTATTATTTCTAAAGAAGGAGTTTACAGGAGATAATGGAAATTATACTTGTTTCGGTTTGGCCTCTTGGTGACCAACATGCAGTTACTAAAACATGTTAATTACTTTAGCATTCTTTGGATGTATTTTAACGTTATGATCAATGCTCAGCAGTAAAATTCTAGGTCATGCTTTTATATACTAACAACTTTTTTTTTCTTTTGTACCGATTTGCTGAAATTAGGATGAATGGTTGAGTGTTAAGGAGTTCTAGACCATTCCTGCCATGCTATACTAATTTATACCATTAAAAAAATGTAACACAATGCTCCTTCAAGATGAATAGTTAGCACCCTCCTCTTTAAATCATAATCTACCCCACCTACAAAAATCGAATATTAATATAATTTGAGATTTAACTGGTGGAACAGCCATCAGGACAGCAATGCCCTGCAGCTGAAATAATATTTAAAATAGAAGGGATTTGACATTTGAGAAGTCAGTGGCTTGAAATACCCAGTTGTACTTAGCTAATTCAGTCCTTAACCTCTGGTTTCAAATAAATCAATTACAGTCGATTCCACTTCAGTTCAGAAGTGCACGAGGTTTTTAGTTAATTGAATACATTTTATTCACTTGCTAGGAATATTCATTTATGAAAATCCTTACATTTAAAGGAGATTTCTTTATTGCCCGTGATAAATTCCACTTCCTAATCAGATCAAGTCATTGATTGTTTACTCATATTTTGCCTAAAATCTAAATTCCATAATATGCATCTCTTTCTTTCCCGCTTTAACTCACACACTATTTAATGTCTCAACTCAATCCAAATTCAGAGTAGTGCATACATCACAGATGGTTTTCAGAAAGTGGAACTACAGCAACAAATGTTGAACAAGTGAAGAATTAGGTGAAGCCCTTTCTAGCTGACAGGGCAAACTGACTAAACAAATAGGTAAATAAACAGACATGAATGATGAAAAAATGTTACTAGTGAAATAAAAATCTGTATTTCCTTCAATCCTGGTAACCTTACTGTAACTGACGTTTATGACATTGTTTCATAGTCTTAAAGAAGAAGGAACCCCTAATACCTAATTTTTCAACATTACTAATTTTCTATTGAAGTAAATGTTCTTGAACATACAGCAATGAAGTTGTATTATCTTCTTTAAATAGATATTGATATATGCAGTGTTTTATATGTGGTGTTTGCAGCATCCTGCTGGCAGTGGGTTTACTGTTTTGGAAAGGAAAGGGGTTAATTAGCGTCATTATCAATCACTAATGCTTGCCTAACGTGTCCAAAGAATTATCAAGTTAGAGGACAGCATGAAGCCAACATCTGCTTCATCCCAGTTAAAGATTTTATCCTATATCCTTCAATTACTGGAAGTCCACGAAAGTCTTGGGCAGTGTCAGGGCTATAAAATAGGGTCAGATCGTTATAGATCTAGAATGGAAAAAAAAAGTGCAATATAAATAACAAATGGCTTCATTATTTGAGTTACAGGTGCAAGAATGACCGTGAAAATGATCAGGGATTAGTAAAATGTGTTCCTTCTTTTTATCGCCAATGGGAAAAAAACCCCAAACCCTTGAGTTCTTAAAACACTTACGTACAGGCTATATGTTCCCTATTGGCAATATTTGGTTTAGTAACCTGAAACTCAGAAAAATAACCTAGCAATAGCACCAGATTAGCCTGATCAATGGGAGTAGATTTTTTATAAAGTCATTTGATGATTATGTACTTGGTTTGCCCTTAATAACTTCCTATTAAAGTGTTTAAAATATCCCTCCTTTGCAAATGAATATATATGCTACTTAACTTCCGTTGATCTATTTTAAAAGCATTTAAACTTTATGTGCACTATGGGATTTTTTTTTTTTGTGGGGGAAGGGAGGACAAGGACCATGGGGTGAAAAAAGCAGGATTTGTTGTTTGTTTTTTACTTTTACAGGGGCAATTAAAATAACATGTAAGCCCTTTTCCATTTTTGAACACGGGTTCAATATTAAATTGACGCTACTGCAGATGTAAAGGCAGTCCTGATATTTTCCAGCTGATTTATTTTGGCCAGTATTCCACCACTATCACCAGTTTAGTCAGGGAACTATGATGTGGAGTGGATGGCATGATCCAGATTCAAATTAAATGGAAGAAAACAGCCAACTATTCTTGTCTAACATCTTTACAATGCAGAAGTGTTAGCTCATCATCACTGGAGGCAGAAAATGAGGTAGAAAACCATATTAAGCTTATTGTTTAAGAAGAAATGCATTCAATTTTCATAGATGTTTATTTGGTCCTTTCTTTTAGGCCCTGATTCAACAAAATTCTTAAACTTAAAATTGTCAAACTTTAATCACCTGAAGTGTGCCATTGATTTAAATGTTGCTACTCACCTGCTCAAGTACCTTACTAAACCAGGGCCCTATTTTACTAAAGGTCCTTTTCCCTCAATTTTTCTTCTTGCTAGATTGATGGGAGGACTGAGAGTTACATAGCTAGGTTGCATAAACAAGTGCAGTGAGATAATGGTAGAAAATGTTTTTTTGCTAAAGAAAGATAGTTTGGATTGCATAATGGAAACACCAATCACTTTATTTTTCAATCCAAACTCTGAAAATTAAACCTGTTCCAAAAGACCATTGTGTCAACTGGTGAAGTATGAGTGCATATGTACAAATCTTAGTCTAAACAGAAAGTGAGCTTGGTATGGCAATTTCCATTAGTTCCCCTATGGACAAAAGATCCAGTAAAAACATGTTGCTTGCCAGATCACTCCATTTTTGTTTGTTTATTTTTGTAATATTCTATTTAATCTTTTTATAGCAAGTGCAGAGACATAGAAATATTATCAATGGCGGTGAAGTTATTTTTCAGTGGAATATGAATTGTTAAGTTACTACATGAAACATAAGGACTTATGTTTATCTTAAATGAATTTCTATCTATTTATTACAGTTGTTTAACTTTGTAAGTTACTGTGCTAACACTTCCTTCTGTTTCAGGCAATTAAATAATGCTGTCCTCTTCCTTTACCCCCATACACACACACTAATACAAAAAGTTGAGGTCTAAGGAAGTGCATCTGCCAAGGCTCAATTTGGACAATACATTTGAAAAGAACTTTTTTGTAGCTACTGGGGGCAAAATTTTGTGTTCTGTTTCTTTTCGAAATTCTGTTTCTATCACTTTTCTTTCTTCCCTACAATGTATCTCAAGACTTTCTTTTCAACCAGGTTGTTTTACCTTCCTTACCCATTTCGAACACCCTTTATTTATTGTTCGTTGTTATATACCCTTGTTATCTTATCATGCAAAACAAACATTGTAAGGGAAAATTGGATGGTCTGTGTCATAGAATATTCCTAAGAAATAGTCTGTTGTGTTTCCTTAGGTCTAATTGTTACTGGAGATCAGCGACTTGGTTTTTTTGGTTGTCAGAGGAAGTGCAGATTGAGAAGAAAAAGGACAATGTGGCAGGGAGTGACTTGTGGTTAGAAACCTACAGGTGAAGGA